ATATTTATATATTTTATTTTTTTGAGAGACCTCAAAGTCTGTATTATGCCGATATGATCATTCTCGGCCTCTTCCAATATAAAATCCTTCCAGGACTTTAAAAACCTCATTTAAGTATGAACAGCAGAAATATTTAAATCCAGTGATTTAGTTTTTCCTATCCAAATAATCTCTACTCCATCCAATCTTTAAAGACTTTTGATATTTTAGATCAGACTGAGACCATAGCTGTCCTGTTACCTTCTGCAAATATCTGTGTCATGTGTCTTTAGGTTCATTCTGCCTTATTCACCCACAAGAGATCTAAGTTTACCTCTTAATTTTCAACGTTTTCTTATCACGTATCTTGGAAATTGTTTATATTTTAACTCCAGTATTAAATGGTTCTGTCAGACATTGTTTTCTCCTTTTCCCTCTCAAAGTAAGAGGCTAAGTCTTTTTCTTCTCCAAAAAATTACAGACTGCCTTACTTCTCATAATGGCCTTCCCAGCATCTCTTCACGTTTCCTCATCACGGTGATTTTTTTATCACTTTTCCTTATATATTTTTAGTGAACAGTGATTCTACTCTTGAAAGGTCTAAGTCAGGAGCTTCACTAAAGCTCCTGGAATATTGTTTCTGATATTCAATTTCTTAACAGGGACAGTTTTAAGTGGTTCCACAGATTAAAAGTCCTTTTTTCTACACATGAAGATTGAACTACCAAAACACAGGGATGCATATTCTAGGACCAAGACATTCACATAATGCAAACCAGTCAGGGACAGTCCTTAACCATCAGATCCTATTTTTCTTGCTAACTTTAGCACCATTTCTAATGTAATATATAGTACACTACGATGTACTTTTATTTTTCCCTTCCACATAGAGATCTTCGTCTATCCCCACAAGAGCATACACTAATTAATAAATAAGGTAGAAGGAAAAATTTGCTTAAACTGTAAAAAAGGAGCTGAGCTCTGCTTGCAGTATATAATGCAACCCCTAACCATTTGATCTTTGCTTTATAATGTACCAAGCTTCTTTACGAGGCAACTGGAAAGAAGTATGCACTCAACCTTTTTGTGTTTATTAAAATATTTTCTAATTGGCTCATCCATTTCGGTATAGTGCCTCAGAGATCTATCACAACTTTCGTTTTGAGGATTCCACTCCATTCAGTTTACACAGGTGAGGATATGAAAATAAAACCCTGTTAAGAACAGCTGCAGAAAATACTTGATTAAAACTATCTTCATTTCTTTTTAATGCAAGAGTTAACCAGTATCAAAGTTACTTTTAGGGACTTCCCAATTTACTTACTTTGGTTCTAGCATACCTGTAGTGGACTGGAGAAGAAAATTTACTCAAAGAGCAGAGAGCATCAATCAATATTAATTTTATACTAACCTCTCCCAACCTGTTGTTTTTTCATTCTCCTTTTCCCTCTGTTTTCAAATGAACTGCTGTTACAGCACTCTCTCATCCTACCTACAACCCTTCTTACAGATTATTTTCTATGAAGATAGTGATTTTTGAAGATAAAGTCTTGAATGTACCTTAGGCTGCAATTACAGGCTGTAATTTAATTAAATTATTTTCTTTTTCTTAGTATATGACAGGCCGTTGCAATAATTGTACCTACAAGATGATCAAAACTCTCGACTTCCTTAGTGCTTGGCTCCCTTCAAAGTTGTACAATGCTAAAATAGTGTATTTCAATTTTAGTGAGTAGAGAGGTAAAAAATAAATCTACATTCTTTATCTACAGGTGTTGCTCTTGTTTCTAATTGCAGCTAAAGAAAGAGTTGTAAAGTATTCTCTGGAGTTATAAATACTTGGAACTCTGAAAAGCATCACGTGAAATTCAGAAAAGCAAGTCTTCTTTTATGTGCTTACAATACACGCGATCTTCTGAATGCTTTGAATACTACCAGTACTAGAAACTAGTAATTCTGAATATCCAACTATAAGAGCTTTGAAATGGGAAGAATACACAACCTTTTCTTTGGTAAATATAAAGTGTAACACCTTGATGTTCAAAAAAACTGTACCAAAACTCTGGATCAGTCACGGCTGCTTC